TCAAATGGCAGAGAACGGGTTCGGCGTCGTGGCTCTCATAGAGCTGACACGCCCCTTCATCCGCAGTCAAGTGGTGTAATGCTGCCGGTATGTAGGGGTAGGTCAGTTTCGGTGTCTCACCATCAGCAAAAGATTCGCATTGTTCGATTGATGTTCCTATGCACGCTTTGGATATCGTAGCTCAGCATTTAAGGTTGGAGGATGCCCTAACTTCGTAACTTGAAATTGATTAATTTAATTCTCGAAAATATCAGAGCACCCGCTGGTGGAGAGGTCACCGCCTCGCCCACCGGGTATGTGGCAAGAGTATCGTAATTCGCCGCGCTGATGGACGTCGCGCCCTCGAATGACGAAGGTTTCAGGATGGTAGATGGCGACAAGAGGCAATTCAGAAGTGAAAATAGGCATGACTGTCTACGGATGGGCTCTACAGGAAGTCCCTTGCTCCAATATACAGGCTCACACGATATACCGCCCCCATCGGCATCGGAGCGGCAAATTACCATTCTCTTGTCCGTCTCCCCCGCCCACCTGGAAACCACGAGGGCCAGCCTTCATTTCCAATGTCTGATGGTGCGGTTGTTCTGCTACTAACTCTCTTCACTCCTAACGGTGAGGATGAGGCGATCAGGGAAAACAGCTGCTATAGATGGTGTTTTATATAGGGCATTCCCCAGGATTTCATTCTGGTTATTCTTCACTAGTAGGTTAGTTGCTACATTGTTCTCACTATTTGAGCCACAGAATCTTCGAGAACGCAAAAAACCACCCCACGACCGTCACAGCGCCTCGCGCTTTCTGTGCAACACTTCCTCATAAATGGTGGTGGAGGGTTTGTATCCTTGACGCGCGTGTCCTTTTGCATTTTTTCGAAAGTGGTCCCTGTGCACTTCAAAGCTATTTTGCATAACTCTTGTGCCTGATAAAGTCGTCGTAATGTTTCTGAACTGATGGAGCCATTGCGAACGATTTCATGGAGATCACTTCTGAGTGATGGAGAGAAACCACTTTGGGATAGACATCTTTCAACACTATGTGAGTAATGAATGAAGGTTTTGCCCATCGCGATCTCCAGCATGATTGCCACTTCACATGAAAGCATTTTCCCACTATACTCATCTTCGCGCACAACTTCGTGCGGCTTCGGATTCGTTTTCCAGTCATGTCATTTGGAGAATAAAGTCATTTGAAGGCAAAATCATCCGTTGGAATGCACTTTTGTTGTGTATGCTTTTCAAATCAAAGAAAGAAGAAGTCAACAGCCAGAAAATGTTCTCCATGGAATCGTTCGCAATGGCTCCATCAGTTCAGAAACATTACGTCACGACATTATCAGGCACAAGAGTTATGCAAAATCGCTTTGAAGTGCACAGGGACCACTTTCGAAAAAATGCAAAAGAATACGCGCATCAAGGATCCAAACCTTCGTGAGCCCTACGACGTATCCACTAGGCCATGCTGCCACAATCTCACCAGCCTTACGCCTGCCAATTCGTACTGAATGCGAATATTCTCCCCTAAAAAGCTCCGTAACTTCTTTCTGGAGGTCCGCAGCAGATATGGAAACGGTTTCGTAATCCCCGTCCGAAGACCTTTCAGCCGGTATACATTTCATTTCAAACCACTTCGACCTACCATCCTTCCCTTGTTAGTGCAACGACCGCGACGCAACCGCTCACCCGCTGACCAGAAATGTTCGTATGGCAATTAAGTCAAAGGTCGCGACTTGCGGCATTGCTACCAATGGTTATTTGCTTCTTGGATCTTTTCCCGATCGCGATTGGTTGAGCAAGGCAGCCACGCATGCCGCGCTGAGCTAGCCGCCCTGACAAATTGCAATGTTACAAACCATACTTTACTAATTAATTATTAATTTTCTCTTGAATGAGTGGTAACTCTGAAAAAAAGCGCATAAATACTCTAGTGACGGCGCGTCCTTCCTACTGATTCAGGGTGTAGCATTGTAAGGAGAATACGAATAGGAATGGGTCGTAATTAGTCGCTGTTGAGGGGATTGTGCTAACACCGATATTTTGCATAACAGTCGGATCGCCCTGCTTCGCCGGGTGATCCTCCTTCCGCGTGTGAAGTGGGTATCGCGCCAGAGCTTACCTGTGAGGGCCAGTCGGATCGCCCGGCTTCGGGAATTTCGGTAAGGACAAATTCGCTTAAGGCTTTGAAAATCTGTTGGAGAGGACGGTATACATGTGCATTAGTTAGTGGTTGTATGTTATTGGGACGATCTTTATAACAGTGAGAATTTCCACTGTGGAATCAACTCACTGTGAGGATGCCTCGCTCGTTTGAACAGCGAATCCGCCCAAAACCAAAAATTTGAGGAATGGCAACCAATTGCTAAGGGACACGCTCCGCCTGCTGTAGGTGGGTCCTGGCAGACATCTAGTACATCCAGCGTACATAGGATCTTCTTCACGGAAGTTTGCCCCTTTCTCTAGAGCGCTTCCAAGTGTTTCGGAACCATGATGAATTTCCTGGAGCGAGCGCTGCCCCTGTCGCTGTACACCTTCCCCTCCGCGTGTGACTCTGCCTTATTTCAATGGCCGACCCCTTTCTCACCTTCGTCTTTTTTCCAATCCCTTTACTCACCTCTAGGCCTTTGAGGATTTTTGTGCTGGCCTCGGCGGACCGCCCACTACTTTCCTTATTGGTCCGACAAACACACAGACAACTTCTCCTTTATATATAGAGTATGATCTTAGCCCATTCAGTTAGTCTCCTTCTTTTCTACGGTACTCGCCTAAGTGTTCAAAAAATAACGAGGAAAAATTTTTTCTTTTCTCTGCCATAGCTCGGTTTCTGTCGACTTGTTTTCCCTGGTGCTATACGCTCGATACTACTATTCTTTTGTGTTTACACTGTGATGCCTTGCAAGGTTCTGAGGCTTCGCAGCGGTCGTTCCCTTCACAGCTGTCCTTGTAGCCTTGTAAGCCTTGCTGTTACCCTTGCGCATCCTTCAAACCCCTGTCACACTTGTCACGACTATTTGCGATATGGAAAGAGTGACGAAGTGGCGTTCCAATGGAGTTAGTGCGATTCTACCAAGCTTGCCAGTAGATAACAGGGTATTCAACAGAAACCTACGAGACACACGGGGGAGGGGATCGCAAGGCAAGTGCAACCAATAGCCATAACAAAGTGCCCTATCCTTAGCTGAAGTTACCCACGTACATAGCATTGCGACAATATTGCAAATGGGAACACGTTGCTAATTCGTCCCTTTGCCTGAAGTTCACGCTCCAAATCAGTTTCTCATGGAAACGTCCGCGCCTGCATTCCTCTCTTGTTAGCCGAACTGAATACTTCGCAGTAAAGGCAAAACAGAATTGTGAGAGAAGCACTCCTGAGCAATAGTTAATTTTCTTTTTCGCACTAGAATACGGTGGCTTTTCCAGAACATCAAACGCTACAGTGTCTCACAAAACCTTTTATTTTTCTTACTTACAAAAAACGGTACTGCAGCTTTTCTTCCCAAACGTGAACACGCACCCCTTCCTTTCTCCGCAAGCAATTTTTGCACATTCGGCAGGACACTCATCTTTCGCGGCTGAAAAGAAACTGTCACGAGCGATTGTTGATTCAAATGTAATAAATCGTAATATGTCCAGTAGTCAAGTAGTTTTCAACTGGACTCTTGGAACATTTGTTGGAACCCTATTTGACCCCAGACAACACTGTTAGCTACTGGATGTATTTGACATCACACAATGCTATCTCCCCTATTTGAAGAGCACTCAGTGTCGATTTGTGAGTATAGTCCAGTTTGCTGCGGACGAAGAGGTATGTCAGGTTCCGTCGTTCGCAGCGAAGGTTTGGCGTGGTGCCAAACCTTTGAACTCACCCGCTGACCAGAAATGTTCGTATGGCAACAAACTTGTTCGCTACAAGGTGTTGAAGAGAACAAGTGACAACACTGTATCACCACCGTACCATCGTATCACTGCTTAGCTGCCCTGTTGTTGCACGCCCGTTTCATCAAATGGCAGAGAACAGGTTTGATCTCGTGGCTCTCATACTGCCTGACACGCCCTTACATCCGCAGCCTACTGTAGTATATGCTGCCGGCATGTAGGCTGTAGGTCAGGTTCCATATCTCTCCGTCAGCAAAAGATTCGCATTGTATCGGAGGCAGAGCCCGTGTTCAATTTATGTTCCTACGCCCTCTCTGGATATCGTGGCACTGCTTTCAAGGATGGAAGATATACTAATTTTGCAGCTCGAAAACATTAGAGGATAGTTCCATAAGCTGGTTAAGAGGTCACAACCCCAACGGTCATGTGACAAGAGAATTGTAAGTTGCCGCGCTGATGGGACATCGCGTGCGACGTCGCGCCCGCAAATGACGATGGTTCCAGGTAGTAGATGGCGACAACAGGCAATTCAGAACCGAAAATAGTCATGAATGTCTACGGACGGGGTCTACATGAAGTCCGGTGCTCCAATCGACAGGTTAACACGAGTTAAGAAAACGCCGCGCCTATCGCCGCGCGCGGCGGAGCGGCAAATTACGATTCTCTTGACCGTTTCCCTCGCCAACCTTTCAAGACGCCCACCGCATTTTTAATGCTTAGTGGTGCTGTTGTTCCGCTACTACATAACTCTCTTCACTTTTAATTGTGAGAGCGAGGCGATAAGGGAAAAAGATGATACCAACACGTGAGAACTCGCGCGCCGCTTTTTCTTAGAAACTGAGACTAACACTCATGGATCCCCTCCGACATCCTCTTGTGTCTCATTTTCAAGACATTGGACAGGGCACTGTGAAAGAGAGCGGTAATCAGCTGAAATCAGGCTCATTTAAGAAAATTCCTGTTAGACCTTAGTGAAAACGTGAGATTTCAGAAATCTTTCACTCACCAGGAGTACAAACAATTTTTTGAACATCGTCGGTCTGAAAAAATGGATTCGAATCAGACAGCAAAGACACCGTCCCATAAAGTGGTACTGCTGTGAGTGATTTCCTCTCATAGGGGATGTTTGCACTACACTGGAGAATGATCAGGACCGCAGGAGATGTAATAGTCATTCATGTGCTGGTTTGTGATCGTTGCGGAATGCGATGCAGCTGCCTCGAAGCCATACATCATCCCTTTCACTAGTCGTTTCACTGGCGCAAGCTATGAACTATGATATTCCCATTTCTGTCGCATGTTGCCTCCTATTCTGATCGCGATCTTACGGACCATGAAGTCGGATTCTTGTTACTAGATCCGTATTCCAGTTTATAGTGCAGTTCGCTGCGGACAGTTGGGCATGTCAGGTGAGATGGGTTTGACGCGGCCCCAAACTTGTTCTCCACCAGTGAAGCGAGCTAGTGAAATAACTGCATCATATCTCTCATATAACTCGTTTTCTAGCACTTCTTGCAGCTTGACGTGACACATACTGCCTGACACGCCCCTTCATCCGCAGCGAACTGGAGTATATGCTGCCGGCGTGTAGGTCTACGTCAGCTTCCATGTCTCTCCGTCAGCAAATGATTCGCATTGTATCAAACGCATGTATTAGAGTATACATATACGCAGCTGTGTGAAATGAGCTCGCGCCTAACCTTTGGTGAGCGACCCCCAGTTCTGGTGAACAAGGAGCCGTCAGTTTGGGACACCACATGTGACCAACAAACTTTTTATGGACTTCTTTCGAGACGTTATAGCCCTCTAAAAACTTTTCAGCTTCTCATACCTTTATTACAGATAGCGCCCGCGATGACCCTTGGCGGGCTATAGAGTTTACAACCATTCGATCATGTTGTAAGCACAATGGCAATGAAGAAAAAAAAGCAAAAGAAACAGTTGAAAATGCCCTAGAAGGCTCACGTACGGGATTGAGAATGGACGAGTTAATCAAACTTTGGGCGAGTTCTCTGAATCTGATCGCCACTTGCTGCGACTCATTCTCCAAGGCATATTTGATAAGATTAGGAATGATCACCGCTAACTACCTCGATAATTAAAAAATAGTCGAGGTGGAACAAGTGAGGCTGCGTTCATACCGTGCGACGCCGCTTTCGTCGGTTACGTGGACGTCGACGTTATGAACCCAGCCTGACTGCTGTTTTCGCAGTCTTGTACACTAAGGGGTACCTGCACCTTGGTTGAGCGCGGACGCTGTCTTTAAATGATGCAAATAGTGAACCAACAAGGTTTCTAATTACGAAGGTTACAACGATCACGAAGGGAAAGGCCACCGAATCGATGGTACAAGTCAAATTCTAATTCAAAATGGAATTCTATCCCAAGAAGTGGTCCAAATAGAGGGTCTAGAACATCACTGGTATGTGAGAGAAAGCTGATAAGATCTGATGAGGGCGTTAGAAGAGACGGTCGTGAAATCATAGCGCGAGCCACGCAGGATGTTTAGTGATGTGGTGGGTGGGGAGTAGGAACTGCTTTTGTGTGGCAGGAAGTGGTGTCAATTGATAAAGGCTGAAGAGAGAGCCATATGTTGAGCGATGGTCATGCTCCAGGTAGCCTATTGAAGATAAGCTGTGGAGCCTTAAAGATACGCCGCGAGATCTCGATCCTTGCGCTGTAAGAGCTGTAGGAGACTGCCATTCTCGTCACTTGTTGCTGTTGCAGTTGCTTCAAAACGAAATGTGATAGAACGGTGGTGTTTGCCTCCACCCGCTGTCCACGAATTGCCGCGCAGCCAAAAAGAGAACAGCGGCGTCTCCACCAATTATCGGAGGACATGGATGCGTTTGTCTACGGTTAGGCGTATGGTGTCGTGCGCTTTGCTATTTGGTGGGAACACGAACTGTATGAGCTCCCTTCACCCTTAGCCTCATTCCGCTCACCTCCGAGCGACGGAAGTAGGACACTTCTACAGCTGCGCAACCGCTTACCTCGCAAGTGGCAACGATTCATCTCTCAGGTAAGTGTGCAGTATACCTCTATGTGGATGTGCAGAAAGACTTACGACAACAGGATCCTCACCTTCCGATTGAGCCGAAGTCTCGAGTGAACCACCCCTATCTCGAAACGTCCTTATCACTCGCTTGTTATCGTTCGATTGATACAAATCCGATCGATACCACAGGTTTTCACTTGTTCTGCTTTCAGATTGTTATTTTGACTCTTCACGCCATTCTACTGCTACCAAAGAGGTCCAGTCGTGAAAGCACTGCTGTTCGAGTTCCATACGACATTAAGGTTCGAGGCCCGTTCAACGTTTTCTTCCCCCTCACCTTCACTTACTGCAAGATGAATGGCTTTAGTGTCGACTGTACTCTCTCAGGCAAGCAGCGCCTTAAGCCATGCGCGAGTAGCTGGTCGTGCGACATACTGAGAGTCAGCGCACTTTGCTTTTTGGTGGGAACACGAACAGTATGAGCTCCCATCATCCCACAACCTCAATTCCGCTCACCTCCGAGCGACGGAAGTAGAGCACTTCTACAGCTGCGCAACCGCTTACCTCGGAAGTGGAAACGATTCATCTCTCACCATCAGGTGAGTCCGTTCAACGTTTTCTCCCCTCCCGCACTAACGGGAAAGTAAATGCACATACGTAAGTCCATCGATCCCGGTTTTGAAAACATAGCGCTGCTGCCTTGTCAGTACGACTGACAACATATAGTTCCAACAGAGTGTCGGATAGAGGGTTCCTTGAGTACATACGCTCTGGCGCAGCGCCATTCCGTTTCCACCACTTGCTCCCTCTACAAGACGCTCTATAAGCACTGTAAGTCCTCAGTGCGAGGCTCGCGGGGTGTAACATATTCAATGCGCAAAGGCTCAGGCCACCGGAACACACATTCTTCTTTGTCTCCCTCCTCTCTCTCCGCTCTCTCTCTTTCTCTGGAGCAGAACTGTCACCTCAAAAGTCGCTGAAATTTTTTTGAGTATTCCAAATCCCAATGATGAGTAGAGTTTCGCTGCGGCGTAGGCTCAGGGCACGTCGCTGTAGTAGAAATCCCAACAAGGGGTCATATTTGACCGCGAAGAAGAGAAGGGGGATCTCATTCAGAAGTAGGAAGAGCAGCAAAATTGGGATGTCGTACAGTCACTGATAAAAATATGATGGTTCCTGCTGTGAAGAACCCCTTAAGACCAGGCAAGCTGCGAGCTCAGAAGTGGCGAATGTGTGGCTACAAAAGCCAAACAGCCGCCCACAAAGGCGTAATGATTGATAAACAAACGAAATACAACATACGCTTGGACCTTTTGAGCTGTGAGAGCACATTTCCTTCTACGGATATGTTCCCACAGTTACCTGGAAGTTGAAATAGTTCCCATAGCTCTGCCTAATGATCGGATGCATAACAAACTCCCATATTATACTATTACATATTCCCTAACAATTCCGACGAAAAGATGTGTTCCAGAGCTTACTCAACTCTTCAAACTGGAAATGGTATGGTACCGCGCCGTAGATGCAAATTTTTTGCGGAATTTTTTTCACAAGAAAATCACAGCGAGGAATGTTTCAGGTGGTGGGTGTGAAAACATGAGGTGCTTCTATGAAAAGACAAGTCTTCTAGATTGCGGCATTGTTTCTGGTTTCTCAGGAGATCACGTCCGAAGAAAGTTATGGCAGTTTATAGGGAAAACTAGGGTAGGTGACACTGAATTGTCACAACGGGGAATGTCCCTCAAAAAGGGAAAGTTCGAATGTGCTCAAGCACAGCTGAACTACAGACCTATGGCTTCACAGCGCTGCTCTCCTTTCTTCAAAAGCTCCACTTTCAAGGAGGGTATGAATATTCAAAAAAGGGTATTTATGGAGGTGCTCTGTTACTTTGCAACCCACAACGCAAAAACGCGAAATAGCTCGCTCCAGTACAACAGTGAAAAGGTGTTTTGAACCTCGCGCACTTTGTATGTACGATCAATTCCACTCCATCCTAAGGGGCGTGGCATATGAACATGGCTCGGTTACACGTGGGGTATTTCGATCTGAGACAACTGTCATCTTGTTCTGTAAGACACGGAACACAAACGCGTCATAATGAAAACATCCCACGAAAAGCACAGCCACCGCCTTGTCTGGTTGAAGTACGCAGCCACGCCTACCACATTTCAGGGACTTCCCTCGATATCCCCTGTTTTTTTTCATTGTTTCTTCTTTTCTTGGGAGAAAGGGGTCATAGCGAGACCCGCTTCGGAAGGGGGGGGGGAGGGTGTGATCGAGTCGTGTTCAGCAGAATCATAACAACACGATGGCGTGCCCTGCGTGGGGCTTTCGTGAGATATCTCGGTTCAACACAATTGTTACCCCGTCTCGTTCTGAACAAAGACATGACTACAGTGATCCCGAAACGAAGATCTCCTACTAAAATCCCACTGAAAGCGCAGCCACCACTAGCCACACCCTCTCCTTCTCCGTGAAATGGAGTGAAGGAATATAGTCGTCGAAACAGTACTTCCTTTACATTTTCATCTTCGCACAACTGAGAACATTAAACAGCTCTACTACTCCAGATGAAATTCTACTATTCATAAATCTTTATAAACTATATACACTCTAGACAGCATACTAGAAAAATAAATGTCAGTAGAAACATTTGTAATGAAAAACTTGTGAAGGGAAAAAAATAGGTTAGAATACAGCATAAGAATGCAGAACTAAAACCAAACACTCGTAAAGGCATAAATATATATTAAAATCATTTCGTTCAAAACATAACAATCGCAATATATGGCAATCAGATGACCATTAGTTCACACTGGTGTTAGAGACATAAAAAGGAGACAAGAAGAGGACGAACAGGGCTACATTTCGGACGGATCCGTGAACCATGAGAAAGCGACGAATCGTCTCCACCTCCATGGCAGCGTTCATACTTCGCCATAATACCGCGTCGCGGCGAATGCAGGCCGACGGGCGTTGTAAGCGGGATTACGCGCGCAGAAATCACATCAAGACCCAGTCTGTTACAAGTCGCGACGCTGCGCTGCGTCAAGTCAATTGGCTAGGAAATACTTTGGTGGTTGCGCGCTATGTTGCGATACTTACTAGAGGTAGACGCTCACGATTGCGCGATTGCGACAAGCGCTCCACTGCTAATGTGAACCGCTGCAACTGCTACGTCAATCAGCTCGGGGGCCCCTATGTTCAACTTAGGGGAGTTATCCCTCGGTAAAGCTCTATGCCTATCAATGCCCCTCGTCTCTTTGCTCTGCCTCTCTGCTCCCCGGGAGACAAGCAAGAGAATAATTTGCCGCTCCGAAGCGCGCGGCGATGGGCACGCGGTTTACTCGTGTCAACCTGTCGACTAGAGCCCGCACTTCATGCAGACCCCGTCATCGTAGACATTCATGACTATTTTCGGTTCTGAATTGCCTGTTGTCGCCATCTACTACCTGGAACCATCGCCATTTGCGGGCGCGACGTCGCAGGCGACGCCCACCAGCGTGGGGGATTACGATTCTCTTGTCACATACTCCCACTCTCGCGGAATCTTCCTGCTCCCCACTCTCCCGACGACTTGTGCTGGAAGAGAGGGGATGATATCGACTGCACTCTACGCTGCACTATATTCGCACAGAGCGTGTGGCAGCGGAGTGAGGATATAGAGAGACGAGAGCCATACAGATGAGGGGATATCAGCAGGGGTACCGGCAGAGAACAGGGGGGATAGCTAACCTCGAGGAGAAGTATGGCTAACACACGACCCAAGAATATGACATCCTTCGACAACAGCATGCAACGATTAGCAGTAGGGCGCGGTCAGTCGCAGTAACGCCTGCCCTCAATCGTGCGATTGAAGCATTTGCATCGCAAAGTATGAACACGGCGCGGCATCTTCTTGGCAAGCTTTTTAAACCGTGGTTTCACTACATCCATGCGTGCACGAAACATCTGATGGCAACCCCTTTTTCCTGACTTTCGCGATTCTGTCCCATTAGCCACCAGCCCCCACCGCTGCTGAGGGTCAGCAATTTTGAGTGAAATGGCAATTGCAACGCCGAAGTATGGAAGCAGCCATGGGTGTTTTTATTAGTAGTGTCAGAAGTTGGAAGAGGGCCAACGATCGTCCGCGCGTCAAATCAATATTCATCAATATGTAGAAAGTAGGAACCACTACTTGCACTCGAGATACAGTGTGCAGAGGATTTCCATACTCTACATTCACATGACAAAAATCACTTGTCCTTTCCAAAATATAACTAATTGAAGGGATGCGATACACGAACGACTAACAAAGCAGCCTACTATACTAGCACAATAACCCACTGCGCTGGGCACCTTGACCTAAGGCCCAAGAATCATTACTATGGCACAAAGCGTAGAAGAAACAAACGAACAAGCAAGGCGGTTGCTTACGATCTTACCACTTCGAGGAACTCACAACGGGTCGGCAGATCGGAGTGGTGGGGGCATTTTCGTGGTTCCAATTGATTACTTTCGATGCCTACCAGGAAACCTACAAGATCCTGCAGAGCTATGCTAGCAGGAGCTCTATTCAGACTTAACAAGAGTCTACAAGTCTCACCAGTGTGAGACGTGTAATCCTACAAAAGTTAGCAAAAGTACTGCAATCCTACAAAAGTTAGCAAAAGTACTGCAAATTACAAAATGCCCCTCCCAAGCCGAACAGCGCCGTAATCGCTAAGCAGTTAGTAATTTTGACAAATCATTCTAGACACTGATTAACTAAGAGACCTTTTGAACCTTCATGCGCACACCTTTCTACAACTGAATAATTTGCAGTGAGGTAATCCGACTAGTTCTACCTGCTGAGCATAAAATATTACCAGATATTTTTTACGATTCTAATTAAATAAGCTAGCGACAAAAGCAGTCAAGTCACTCAGTGAAGTGCTTTGACGCGATCTGACACCTCATGGCACGCCGAGGTCCCTCAAAATCTCCCAAAAAATGTTTCGCCATATTGAAAAAAAACCAAAAAACCCGTCAACTCAGTTCAATAATCGTAAAGCGCCTCTAAAAAGCATCTGAATTGAGTAATAGATCGAATTACCAAAAAATTACAGAATAATACTGAGGCGCCGTTGAAAATGAAGCTAATGTAATTCGGTGAAATACAGTAAGTCTTGTGGAATCACACCATTGTGAGCTATGTTGTTCCTTCGGACCGCATTTGCTGCCAGACCTTTGAGTGTAATGTACTTTCCTGGAATATTTCAACTGTGTGATGGTTTTGGCAAAAAAATGCATATCAATCTTGAGATGATCAAGTTTTTTATAACTGCGGTACCGAATGCTGGGAGTCGGATAAGACAGTTGGAAGGCTGCGTTCATACATTGCGACAGCGTCCAACGTTTCGAGCGTCGTCATCCCCAGCGATTATGAAAGTATAGACATAGATCTAGCTAACAGCAGGGCCCACCAGCCCCTACAGCAGCGACTAGGAAAAGGTGGATATCGATCTAGCGAAAGCCAGCATTTACAAGCGTCCAGGAGTGGAGAGTAAGGAAAGTAGGAAGTTTGCAGACTGCTGGATCAATCGTCGTGAAACTGTGGCGTGTCCAACCGTTCCGCACAATTACTAGGCACAAAATTATGCAGTATTGGTATAGTGCAGTTGTACAGTGCGGTCGCACACTCCGCGATTTCACGATGCTTATTTCAGCTGTTTGCTCCCTCCTACTTCCCATACTCCACCAGCAGTCCGCTGCCTTCCTACCCGCTACGCTGGACGTTGGCGTTCACTAGATCGATATGTCCATTTTCCTAATTACTGGCGCTGATGGACGCTCGAAAAGCTGGGGGTCGTGGTGGACGTTGCCGCAAAGTACGAACGCAGCATAATTCACCGCACCTTCGCGCGTGACGAATTTAAAGCAGCGAAACTCACGTGAATTTAAGCGATGAAAAAGTCCCTCCCCAGCGATATCGTTTTTTCCCTTTCCTTCAACTTCAAATTCTAAAACTCGGGCAGGACAACTCGCCCTGTGGGCGCAGCTTCGCTCGCCACGCCCATCAATGTAGCGTATTACGCTCTTCATAGCGCACAGCCCCGAATGCCGACCACAAAAATGCACTCTAGTTCACGCGGCTTGCTTTCCGCCCAGATATATATAAATCAAAACGCGGCAGTAGCTCAGAAGGGAAATGATAAGATTTTCCCTTCTCCACGCAGCTGCGCGCGGCAGATCTCGGAGAGCTAGCTCGAGACTAGAGAGCCGCAATTTCGCCCCTCTCTACTTCATGCCCCTTCCCTGATTTCTTTACTAGTACTTGTAGCGAAAGATTACGATTATTCGCATTGAATCCTTAGTCAGTATGTTAACATGTGGGCGTACTAAAGAGTTTTCATTCTAGCACGGAACAAAATCTCCAAACGCGGCAGACACCTGTGGGCCTCAGAATCGACCACTTATGTTATGCAGAAGATTCTAAGCCACTTTGTTTTCATGCAAAGGACACTGAAAATTCAACGTCAACCCCTCACACGGGCTTGTCTTGATGTGCACAACACATGGCAAAAAAGCCTTATTTCGGCTTTTGAACTTGGGGAACGATTTTACAGCTTACGCAACAACAGTAAGGACTTACCTATCCGCAGTGGGTGGAAGTATGGTTGTAACGGCTCAGCGCTTCTTGCAATAATATCAATGCATGTGTCACCATTCGCATCACGAGCCAGGGCGTAAGCACCGTAATCCAGTAATAACCGTATAATGCTCATTCTGAAACATAGTTTTGACAGGAATTGAGAAGTGAACTGGTGGGGAGGCTCTTTTTTTCTAAATTTCTCACGAAACCTCTCTGACTTTCAGAAAATAAAAAAAATGGAAACAAGACTCCTAATCCCTCAAAAAAATGGCGACTTTGTGCAGTGGAGGGGAACCGCGACAGGGCGATCGTACTGGCTCTGGGGGACTAGACCGTTGTGACCAGGGGCAAGCATACGTCGCGGATTCCGCAACGGGGATAAGATACGGCACTTTCTGGAGTCGGGTTCTATTTGCAAAGATCAGTACTGAACGTAGCAGGGACGCAGCATGCAAGATGAGTGATGCATCCGGAAAAAGTTAAGTACATGGCGCATTCCATGAATGTGTTGATCAACGCCTGTGGGCAGCAGTTCCCACTCCCCTGGTAGGCAGAGGGTGTATGGAAAGCCTACCGAGCTTTCTAGATGACAATGTGTGCTGTAAGGGGGTTGGGGTGGGGTGCGAATTCTCATACCGTGGCTGAAGCTGACATCTGCAGCAAAAATCCGTGATGGGCGAATTTTCGATACAATTAAGCGCAAGTGTGTTGGGTAGATTAGAAAGAGAAAGCTGTAGTGTATTTCGTATACACCCTGCCCACAGAACATGAACTGGTCTTACCGCTCTGAGAAAGATAATTTCTGAATGATGCTATACCCTTTCAAAAATTTCTATATGAATGCAACGGGCCAGTAGCGCTTCAGTCTCAGCACGCGGCGCGGACGCAGTACGCTCAATGCCTCAACTTTGGGTCAATTCGTTGGACGCTGTTATTGTAAGGTTTTCCCAAGTTTCACTTTGTGCATTACACTACTTCTAACAAACTAATCCCTTCAATTTCTTAGCTTTTATTCGACTGAGTACGTACACCCTTTTTAGAGGGCGGATCGCAGAAGCCCCAATTTTTCCTGTCATGATGCTTCAACCTGATTGCTACCCTGGCAGGCTGGGCTCTGCTAAGCAGAGTCTTGATTAGATATAATTCTGGCGCTACTTTAGGGAAGGGACAAAGTTATGGCTCTCTTCCTAAACTAGCGCCTAAATATTTCTCAGAAACTCAAACAGAACACAGTCCTGTGGATCTCATGCACCAAACAATATACCTACCCCTGAAATAGGAAAAAAACATCGGCTACTCACTGCCAATTTAAACAAAAGAAGAAAAAATCAACCTGGGATGAACATTTTTCATCGTAACATGCAACGCTGTATCGCCGTCTGCGTCTTTTGAGTTCACACACATACCAGCAGCTAATAAACGATCCACGACAAAATGTGACGGTATACTAGAACAGAAAAATATCGATTTTAAACAGATTTTATATTCATTCCAACCATGAAAATCTCGAAAACACACCCTTCGTACTCAATAAAATCATTTTCTTTGACAGCAAGATGAAGCAATGGAATCTTGAGCTCACTGCACGCTTTCACCAAACGCCTTACATCAATCTGTAATACATACTCTACGTCAACGGAGATACCACGGCAAGGGCTCGCACTAATTACCCTTTGTGACCCAATAATTCTCTCAAATTAAGCTCGAGCTCTATTGAAATTTCTCTACGGGGTGAAATTTCTCCGAAAAAACTGCCCATTTGTCGGAAAACTTCAACCCGTTCGCGTTCGTTCCTTCTGAGTACGACATTCACGCCAACCTGGCGAGAAAACATCTGGCACTTGCGTCAAAAGGATATGATACTCGTATAGACTGGGACGGGCATGTGAATCGTAAACTGCGGCTTCGTAGCGCGCGGCAATGGGTCGACGTCCCCTTAAGTTGCACTACCGATTTGGATTGGAGCATCGGATTTCACGTAGACAAGGATATGGATGGATATTTATGTCTACTTTTGGTCATACATTGTCTGTTCTCGACCAATACCACCTAAAATCGTCGTCATTAGCGGGCGCGACGTCGCACGCAACGCCCACTAGCGCGGCGAATTACGGTTCTCTTGCCACATACTTCATATCCAGAGAGTCGAACTGCTACTCGAAAAAAGTTATCGGCGACTTTCAAGTCGGGTGGGGGGGTGCTTATGGCGACTGGTGCGATGAAGAGACCTAAGGAGAAAGAAATCGATGCGAAATTCGATGGTCAAACTCTCCGCGGACAAGTTTTAGTAACAAAATTATGAAGATTGACCGCAAAGGATAGTTAGTGCCCAATTGCTTTATGAATTCACTATGCAAAAGTTGACCTTTACATCTGCAGCTGTGCATAAGTCCACAACGTCGTCATCATCCTCATCATTGTGCATCGGTAATGATAGCCTGTTCATCTGAAATTGCAACGAATAAAAATCCGGTGCAATTCGGCAACGGAGGGGGAGGGGGGAGGGGCACTGACTTTCGCTGCTTCACTAGTTCCGGTTTACAAGTCTCACTCTGGTGAAACCTGTGAACTCTTGTGAAGCTGGAGCAAGCTCGTCGAGCCACACGGCAAAACCTGTCAACTCTTGTAAGCTCACGAAATAGCTTTCTATGCGGGTCGACACGTCTCAGCTCTATCTATCTATCTATCTATCTATCTATCTATCTATCTATCTATCTATCTATCTATCTATCTATCTATCTATCTATCTATCTATCTATCTATCTATCTATCTATCTATCTATCTATCTATCTATCTATCTATCTATCTATCTATCTATCTATCTATCTATCTATCTATCTATCTATCTATCTATCTATCTATCTATCTCTATATCTATCTATCTATCTATCTATCTATCTATCTATCTATCTATCTATCTATCTATCTATCTATCTATCTATCTATCTATCTATCTATCTATCTATCTATCTATCTATCTATCTATCTATCTATCTATCTGTATGTCTGGAAGATCGGCATTACCTAAAGAGCCAGTTCAAGTGGCCAGGCCAAGACTGTAAAGAGCAGGGCATGGTCCAAGGTGTGCGGAACACACATGTCGAAGTTTATCCCTGCCTACTGTGGACAGAGCGTGCCCTCAACCGAGACCCACCCATTTGAGATTGGTATTCTTCTACCACAGGACCCGGGCCTGTTGGTTGGGCAACCTTTCCTGCTTGAAGCGCGCAGGTCTAGAGCCAACTAACAATAAGTTATGCCAACTTTGTCACGTGAAGTTGGAGGAAGATGCAAGGAGCAGGAATCAAATTGAAAATATCGTAATTGTTCACTTACCAAAGCTAACAACTGCAATCCAAGCAGTACAACTCGCTTCTTCTCATCATCACAGCTATGAATATGATCTTCACCGCAATTACACAAATCCGAAAGGGGACGCTCACCCCACTCAGCAAGCTGTAACAATTTCTCTTATCAAAGAAACATCAAAATAACTCAATTACAAAGCAACCGTTAGATAGCTTACCCTCTCCAATTCGTAGCAGACTCTGTCGAAGACGAATGCAATGATTTCCTGTTTAGGAGGGGCATTTCGGCGTGCTGCGTTGTCCATGTGGACCACACGATCATTCAGAGTGTGCAGAAAAGTTTCCAAAAACGCTTGGAACATCGTTTGTGTTGAAAGATGAAGAGGAGTGAGATGTCTATAATAAAATGAGAAATTTGGAACTAAGCCTCACTTTATTTGATTATATCCAATTTTCGGCTTGCAAACTGAGGAAAAAAGCTCACGTTTGCTGCAAAATCAGTGCGTGACTCCACAGTTCGTAACACTTATCAAAGTATCCCAGATCGCTGAAAACGGCACCCCTGAAGCGAAGATAGTAGTGAACGTCAGCATGGGCTCCACCAAGGATACGCTCACGAATCAGTAACGCCTAAAATGAAAAAAAATTGATCGTTCGAAGGTGTCTCAGAAAAGCAGCCGAGAACTGGCGCAGTTCGGAATAGAGGGGCAATTTGCCGATGCCCATCAATCGCTGCCCATCCCTCTTGTTAACTCCTGTAAAGCATGTAATAATATCAGCTTCTTTTACACTTGACAGGAGTTTACAGGTATTACCAAGGTAACAACTGTAATTCAACAGCATTTAGCGAAAGAAACAAAAACGTGCAAAATGCCCCCCACCAGTCCGAACAGCTATTCAGCCAAACAGATGGTCTATTTGAAGGAAGATTTACGCATACTCTTGCACTTTTTTTTTACTTGTAAAGCACGTGCCGAGCGGTTTATTTCACAGTCATCCTTCTTTTCCATATTCCTAATCCTCCAAGGATAGAGAACGAGGAATGTTGTCGCTACTGACGCCTGCTCGAGCACTTTGATGATCAAAGGGAAGACAAAGGACAGAGAAGGAGTAAGGATATGGCAGTCGAAAGTGAACAAGATTCCTCTGAGATGCACCACGACCTGCTCTATTGAGCGTTACACTGCTGTTCGAATGTGATCAGGCTTGTATAATCTTATTCGCTGCGGATGCCGGAACGTGTCAAAGGGGGGCAGGGGTTGTGGGATGGTTTGGCGCTAGGCCAGCCTAATCTTTATCAATCGTTGAAGCACACAAGCGACAACAGTCGATGTAGAACAGGCTGGCGCCGTGTCAAACCCAATTCCGGAAAGCACGCTCTTACATCCGCAGCGTGCAAAACTATACAATCTTACGGGAGCAGCATGCGCAAGTCGATTCTGTAGTCGGCTGTTCCTCCATTATAAACTGGTACCAGAGTGCCGTCCCCACCTGGAAGCTTTGCTGGCTTGGGCGAGAAATGACTTGGGACTTCACCTTTAGACTTATTCCACAGTAGTCCGCAGTAAGTCGCACTGCATGCCACTCTTCACGATAACTCCATTTTGCTGCCCAGGATTGTGTGAATCGTTCTTACCCACGTAACTACAGCGACTAAGAAAAATATAGCTCTGTCAAGCTTATGCAAGAAAACCTTTGCTAACGAAAAAACTAAAAATAAATAATCGGCACAGTTTGGCTTGGTAAAAACAGCAAATGGTACCCAGCAAAGTTAGTTCAGCCCTCTTGCGGATTCCCCCCTCTCAAGCTGAACAGCGTCAAATAATCTATTCCCATATGCATCCAAATAAAGAAGTGAATTTCCGCTAAAGAAATATAAATCATTTGCAGGCACGACGAAATCGGGAAAAATAAGGAGTACAATTATTCTGCGTCAAATTTCAACCGCGATTCTCCCAGGAACCAGAAAACGGAGGCAGTGTCTGCAGAAAGAACACAGTTTCGCCTCAAGACTCATTTGAAAAGGCAGTGGAGAATTCCCGTAGAAAAGAGAAAATTGCGAATCCAGCAGATGGTAAACTGCCCACAAAAAGTTCCGAGCTGAGCCAGTGCAGCAAATTCATCAAACTTCAAACTAAATACTAACATTCTTAATTATTGACATTGCGTGAGTCTCGTCACTCATACAACAAGCTCATTGCAGACACACATAATGCAAGCAAGCAACACATTTGCACGCATTGTTGAGCACAAACAAAGCGTGCTAACGATGGCATCGCTCGCTGGATAAAGATGAGCTATGCTCTGAAGTTTCAAAGACTTCATCAGAAACACGCGGGCTGTACCCCAGCATGATCGTCCAAGTTCGGCCATTCACAGCATTCATATAGCAACGCGTCCTATCAATTGTACTTCATAAATCAAATGATAGGAGCACCAGGTCGGTGTGCGCTTAACTGTGGGTGGCAGTTGCGGTGTTTATCTAGGTAAGCATGCTACACCTTGATCAGGGGCTATAACGGTGCCCTTAGCTGGGAAAGGGGCCACGCAGCACCTGCTCAGGGGCACACTGTTCTTCCGCGCCAGGCGTGAAGACCCTGACTGCCTTGTCGATTTATCGTTCCACCTGCCATTAAGGCCTAGAAGTCAATGTCAGTTATTTGAAGACAGTTGGCACGATAAATCTCCAAGATGTGTGGGACTAATACGCCTAGCAGGACTGAATTTGACGCCCCTGAGCACGCGCCTGTGTGGCGCTATTCCTATGGAAGGTACCTTCAAAGCATTTATCAAGCTGTGTCGTACCAACCTGGACGCCCGCCGCGCCCGCGCGCCCACAAGTCCCACCGATGCTGATGCTTATCGCTTCATTTGCGGAGTACGATATGAAGCGAAGGGATTGCTATGAAGAGGCCGCGGTGGCGCATGGACATATGCGTACGCACGTGCAGCCGTATCTACCGCATCAGTTACTGGCACGATGCCAACGCGAAACTCGTCAGAAGAATTGCTCCCTGAGTTGTGTAGAACAAAGGCTTTTTGCAGATTTTTGACCGCTTCACTTCGTTTTCCCCCTCTATATAGCACCCTTGCGAGCATTTCAGACATACACCAAATTATCGTGCCGGCGAAGTTTGTCACGAGGGGCATTTTTGCTTTCCATAGATATGTCGACCCATCTACGTAGCCATTTCCTCAAGTTGACACGTTTCAGGATAGTGGCTAGACAATTTTACTTCAGCTTTACAAGAGTTCACATGTTTTACCAGAGTGAGCTTTGTAAACCAGAACTAGGGAAGCAATGATAATACAAAATGCCTCCCGTCGACAAACAGCGCCCGTCGTGCCTTATGTCTTCAATGGTTTAGACTTGCATCTCAAGGTAGTGATGAAGCAGCAAGTAAAGAGACAGTTAAATTTTGAAGGCTTTGTGAAAAAATGAGCTATGAAAATATGGTGAAATTATAGTTGATTACCAGCCGCAACTGACTACATGAAGGACCAAACTGAGGCCTGTACCAAAGTTGATATTAGAAATTTCTAATTCTCTGAAACCTTGAAATGTCCTGGTCCATCAATTGGTTCGTAGAAGTAATTTTCTTTAAACTGAATAAGTAAGAAAACGAGCAGTAGCGTGTTTCTATGGCGCATATAACTTTTCGCCACCCCGTATGTGCCTCAGTGACCGACACCAACTATACGCAATGGAAAACCTCTTAAGTAGCCGCCGGTCCTTACGCCGACGACCTTCCTGCATTATTGCGCTCAATACCCAGAATAACCGTGTCCTCTATTTTCTAGTCGGGTCGTCGCGCTGTCCCTTTGGCGCCGGCAATTACCCGCAAACGAGGCGGGGGTTGCCGCTCAATTTTCGCCGCCACTCATTACGGAGACCTGTTCTTTGAATACACCGGCATGAAAACAAAACAAAAAACGTAGAAGAGGGACCAGCAAGAAATCTGGAAAAAGTTCCGAGCACGATATGACCCCACTTAGAAAAATTTTCACCCAAGCAAGCATCATATACCTAGCCGACAACAAATTCTGTTGAAAATACCGTCAAGCCCTGTGGTATATCTTCATGAAACTCAGAACTCATCTGAGGCACAGCTTGTGAGAGCTGGGAGGGGAGCTTTCGCTGCTTCTCATCGACATGTCGAGCCATCAAGTGGAGAGATGTTCTGTGAAATCTCGTGAAGCCGTGAAGTGACACGGCATCAAGGTTTTGTAGAGACCACGCCTCAATCGTAAAAAAGCTTCAAAACCATTTAAGCAATGAACACAGACTATGAAGTAGCGGAAGTGCAAGCGCCCCGTCCCTCCTCCCCCACCCCTCCCCAAGTCGAACTGCACTACGATCTCATCATAGCATTGTTTCTGGATATGAGTCTATACGTTGAGGAAAGTACTTATATTCACGATATCGCAACTCTAGCCACCACCTAGAGAGGGGTTATTTTAGAAAAATGAAGACCAGGATTAATAGACAACAAAAAATAGCGATGAATCTTTAACAGAATTGAATCTGACCTGCATACGAATAGCATCAGGGCTGTCTTCGATAAGCTCGTACATCCTTAGTGTCTGAAATCTTTCATCGCATCATAGACAATCCGGAACTATGAAGTTGTCAGCTACCTCTTGCACCTGGAAACGGTCATCATTTTCACTCTTGCTGGGAAATTTTTTTAACTCAGCGAATTTAGCGCACATACTGGCAACCCAGTAAAAGCTTCACCTACAGCTGATCATCCCTTGTCATCTTCCATGACCTGTACACCACTGCCCATAAACATAGAACCTGAAGGCACATCACCAGGGCGGGGAGCACTTTTGGAATCCCCTTGGAGGGAGGAGAGGAAATAAGTTCCCATCAGCATACACTGAGAATGATACGGAAAATATGAGACAGAAGGAACGAAACGTTTTGAGCTGCACGCAGCACGGAGCAGTACTACGCGGTGTCATTGCAATCCACTTCCTACGGATCTCATTAAGCATTTGACGTCCTAGATGCTCCAGGAGAAGTTTAAGTGCGAGCTTGAGTGAAAAAGACTTCCTAAGTAAGCAAGTGCTTGTGGTAGGAAACTAGGGATTTTGTAGGGGACAGCTTTTTTCACACAAGTGGAGTGCGATCTTGCAGTTCGCCCAGCCGTGAGAGTGCGTGTCCAGCGCAGGACTGCTTCGGCTTAATTAGTGACTAACCATTGCGTAAAGGAAATGTTTCAACAATCCTAGGTTATTTTGTCCCTCTTGATACCTTAGATACTACGACCCCCAAGAAACATATCTGCTGAGCGAGTTCTCGTGATACTTCTAAGCGACCGGGGATTTCTAGCTCACTGGCGTATGATGTCGTTAATATACTGACATCAATGTGGACACATTGACAGAAATTTTAAAAATGCCCCTCTTCTCCCGAAGAGAATCGTGCCAACGTAAACAAATTGAAAAATAGAAATTCGCATGAACTTGTCGAGTTTAAACTTCTTCATCTGTGTTTCCATGTCAACAGGATAGAAACCAGATGAGAAAGTGACTCCATATCTAGTCATAGGAGTGGGCGTGTCCACGGGCGAAGTTGGTTTAGGCCGAGGTGGCGGTGACGCTTAAAACAAGTATGAGGGCACAGACAACACAAGAAAACGTTGATGCTCACAGCCTCTGAAGGTGCTAATCGCACTACTCCAACAGATCAAAGATATACACCACAATAACTACCTCTGTGAGCACACCCTCTCTAAAATTCGAGACATGACTGTTTTTTCATGAAAGAAGAGCTGCATTGGTCAGAAGTGATAATACACTATCAATCTTGATTCAGCGCGTCACAATTACTAGAGGACTCAGCCTTCGCTACCGTATTGAAGTCTGCGAACAGTGTATCGCACTCATGTCGGCTTGACAAGAGATCACATTTTGAAAGTTGGTACAATTTCATTTAAAACGATTTTTCTGGAAAAATCAAACCACTGACATGCTTCGCTTCCTCCTCTGTTAACGGCACTTTTAGCGCATCATTCCATGCCTCAATGGCTCCTACCATATCCATCTTTTTGTCAACTCTCGTGCACAGCGCTAACAGTTTGAGGGCATCCCGGCGTTTCTCTCCTGATTCACAATGTTCCAATAGCATTGGTAGGATCTGAAATGACCTCCTACTAATTTTCTCGTAAATGGGCAGAGAGCCAGAGAGTAATCAGGTTAGGCTCTACTTACCCAATCTGCTCCAATCATGACGGCACACATCAGAGGACAAACACCGAACTCATCCGGTACAAGACGAGCACCGGCATTGAGAAGCAGTGCGCAAACGTCAACACTCTCGCCTTCTACGGCATCGTGCATGGCCGTATTTCCTGAAAGTATCCCAGAACTCTTGCTAGGTCTAGGAATATTGAGTGAAATCGTGACACAAAACTAGTTTATCGCCAGATTTTTGCGAAACATTGAATAAATAGGTCCATCTGTATAAGATTATCAGCATTATGCACAACCATCACAGACTACTCGTCGAGTGCCGACGCGTAGGGGAAATAAATGGGGGAGGCCATTTTGCACTTCCGCTGCTTTCCATTCCGGTTTACAGGTCTCTCAGTGGAACCTGTAAACTCTTGTGATACCCTGGTGAAACGTGTCAACTTTCGTAGCCCATGAAATAGCACTCTAGAGGGTATATGACAAGAGGATCGTTATTCACCGCGCCGGTAGTCGTGGCGTGCGACGTCGCGCCCGCAAATAACGATGTTCCACATAGTAGATGGTGACAACAGGCAATGCAGAATTGAAAATAGCCATGAATGTCTACGATGAAGGGGTCTACATGAAGTCCAGGGCTCCAAGTCGGCAGGTTAACAAGAGTTAAAAAAACGCCGCGCTCATCGTCGCGCGCGGCGGAGCGGCAAATTACGATCCTCTTGGCCGTCTCCACTCCGGATGGCTCAATACCGAAGCGAAGTAGCAAAAGTGCAAAATCCTCCCATGACCGAGGAACAGAGCTACCCAGGTTTTCTTCGCAAGGTAGAGATCATTCGTCGGAAAAGATCTGGGTCACAAACAGCGCAAAAATAGCGCACAAATAAACGAAAGTACAGGATACAGGTATCGACCTGCGAAAGGAAGCGTACGCCAGCATTTTCGCGTGCACTTTTAAAATTCAGCAAAGCTGCCCGCGAAAACGCTGCTGTACGCTGCTGGGCAACAAAGAAAGCTGGCGTTTCTTAGAACCTATACTGGTCCCTCGAAAGGGTGGTGGACGCTGGTGTTCGCTAGGTGATGTTTAAACTTTTCTAGCAGCTGGCGCTGACGTACTCAACAAACGCTGGTAGTCGCTGGCGGACGCTGACGAATTATGAACGCAGCCTAAACTCTGAACACTAAACGCGAAACGTTTGCCACCAGCGCACCTTTTTACTAGCCCGTTGACATCACACCGACTTTATAAGGTATTTGACCACATCAGCCTAAAACCAACAATTGAGGTGTTCAGTATGTATTATGCAACGACAAGGCCTTGTCAAACTCACTTTCTGGCGATACGCGGCTATCATAAGCGAAGTATGGCCATGCTGATTAGCAACTTCGATATCGGCTCCATGTTCAACTAGATACTTCACTGCAATAGAAAACCATTATTAGGCAACATCTCCTATCAATGCGATGTACATTCTGCGCGGTACGGAGTTGAAAAGAAGGAAAATAGTACCTCAACATATAACATGACTAGACAGGACGCATCAGAGCATTCCTTGGATCTACACCATATCCCCGAAATTGGCGTCATTTTTTCAGTCACTGAAGCGCAAATCGGCACAGTACGGCGACAGGGGGGGTGCCAGTTTGTACTTTTCTGATTCACTAGTTCCGGTTTAAGTCTTATTCTGGTGAAACCTTTGATGTCGTTTGAAGCTGGAGCAAGCTCTTCGAGCTGTAAACCCCCTTGGTGAACTTAGCCCATTTTTCCCTATTTCTGGACTGTCTGCAACGATGATGAAGGTCATCTGCACTGCACACCTTTCGGCACTTGTCCCGGCGCTTACTTAGGGGGGGCTTTCGCTTGTGTGCTCTGTGAATCTTGTCCTGTGCCCTATTCATTCCAGCCACGACCGCTCCGAGTTGCTTTTTAAGTGGAACTGAACTTCCGCATAGACAACCGACAAAGACTCGCAAATTATATACAGTACTCCTTGGAAACTTCTTGAAGCACTGAACAGGTGATATATTTCGCAGGTTACCACTTACGCGACTGGTCTAATCTCAGATTGGATCCTACCTGGGTCCTCCCTTCTCATCAACGAAATCCGTAACAGACTTCATTGGGAGTATAAAAACGCGGACTCGTACATAGGAGGGCCTCGCGAGTAATTTCATAAGTTATATCACATTCATGAGCTCGTTGTAATTTCAAACTTCCGAACCAAGTGTATAAGCAAGGCACATCGAAGAAGGAAATCGAACTTTTGGGTCACAGTGCGCCCTCATTTCTCCAACAACTTTCACGGAACCTTAGTGCCACTAATAGTAAAGGTCTCCTTATCAAGCAAGACCAATGATAGAAGGCCTAGGCCATTCCAGAAAAAAACCCACAACACTGAATTGAATGACAGGTGACTGATAAGAGGAAGCAATCGAAACTACTCCATGATCCTCATTCTTTCGTTCAGCAGCTATTGACCGACCCCAGTCTTTTAGGAATCGCCAGCTTTGGCTGTAATTCATACTCTGCGACAAGCGGTACCGCAAGGTACGCTAGCGTTTCGAGCCCATGCCAGAGCCAACGACTAGGAAAGTGTGCATAATAGTCCAGCGAAAGCCTGCGTACGTCAACGTACGTGACCGTTTTGCGTGTGAGCAATTTGAGCAAACTGCCCGCGAATACGATGCTGTACGCTGGCGTTCACTGACGCAAAGTATGAACGCAGCATTAGCGAAAATTTTTTCCCAGGATTTGCTTGAAAATTTGTCTGCGCGATATGACATTCTTGTCCAGGAGCTGAAACTACCACAGACAAATTTTCAGCCGAACCTCCCTGGGGAGAAAATTCGGTATACAACTGGCCTGATTATCAGGAAAGGGGCAGAAGAACGAAAGGGGACTAGCGCCCACGTTTCATGACGTATTCGAAGCACATCGCCAGTAAGCGTGCGATCGTGAAGGCAATAAACTTCAATCGCACTGCATCGTAACAACGCGGTGTGATCAAAACAATACGCTGGTCCCCGCAGTGCAACGACAACATCGGGACGCGCCTAGTCACCTCACATTGCGGGCCGGGCTTTAGTACATGAGAGTCAACACAGAACTAGGGCAGTCTCTGCTCACCCACACAATAGAGAAAATGTGCGGAGCTGTACTACGGTGCAAGGCAGGTCCGATGTTGTTGAGAAAATTTCGGCAAAATACTACGCCGGACTTCTTTGACCTGACTCCCTTCGCTCTGACGACCTTTCCAATATAGCCTTCACTTAGCACTGCCCTACCACATTCCGCGGAAGTTGCCCGCCCTCCCCAAAGAAAACTGAGCTCGAGCGGGGGAAAGAGATGGGGTGTGCGCGTAGATATTACAGGTGAAAGCGGAAAGACCAACTAAACTCAACAAATGGAAATATTTTCACAAAGGCAAGTACGACTCCTCTTCGTGGCCAGATGCAGACCTCACTAGGAATCCTGCAACGTACTTTGTGCAGCGACGCCGCAGGCTTAGGCCAAATTGCAACACTTACCGTGACAAACAGCGGAAATGTTCGGAAACAGGAGCTCGAATTAACTGGTGCTTGAAGGCAAGTGGCACGATAAATCCTTGAGACCTGCAGGACTAGTACGCCTAGCAGCGCGGAATTCAGCGCCTCTGAGTACGAGCTGGCGCCTTTTCCAAAAAAGTATCTTTATAGCGCTCTATCACCCTTCAACATACCGACCCGAACACCCACCGCGGCTCGCGGTCCGCGGTCGGCAAGATGAACGATACGCAAAGTCCGACCGATGCTGGTGCTCATATCGTTTCACTTACGACGTACAATATGAAGCGAAGGGACTGTTATGAAGCGGGTGCGTGCTGCACGGATACATTGTGTACAAAATGCTGCCATAAACTACCCCGGCTTACGTTGGCACGATGCCAACAGGAAACTATCCGACGCTTTCTGACACGTCTAGAAAAAAAGGCCGTTTGACCGTTTCATTTCGGTTTTACAACGTTTTCCTAAATAGCACCCTGTACGCACTTAAAGTCCAGTCAACAAAATATCCGCCCCACCGCCTTTAAGTTCTTACGATCAGTCTCGGAGTGGATTTGGAATATCGCTTCGATTTTACGTATAGCAATATCTACTGACAGTGGAGATGCTCATGCAGTGTAATAGCGCGTGAGGTAGACTTCAACCAGCTGTTGAATAAACACTTAGGCGAAGGATTGCTCAGCGTTCTACAACGAAATAACGTGACATTTTGAGCTATACGTATAACACCACGCAACTCTCGAAGTACAATGAACAATAGATCGTGCAAATGTCCTTCTGGAAAAGTACAGAAGTGGAATTACCGTAATGAAACAGCTTAGTAAAGCTTCGTAGTCCACGGTATGGACTCAGAAATAAGCAAGGAACCTAAAAACGGAGCAAGGCAAGGAATGAAAGGCAGAAGACTTAGTTTGGGGACACAGCGTAGATCGGCTCGGTGGAAGTACCAAATAATACTTAGCTAAGCGTGCACAGGCCTCCTTATGAAGACCTTTGAATTTCTGGAACCAAAGTGGCGCACTCGAACAATTTTGCAGCTTCTTAGGATTTGGAAAGTATGATCACTGTAAGACCTCTTACAAAACATTAACAGAACAGGAGTAATTTACGAATTGCAAAAATGCGCACCCCCCCCACCCACGGCGAACTTTACCTAGGGGTAGTTTTCATCGAGTAAACCCTTATAATCTCGAAGCTTTCTAAAGCTCTCTTCACTGAATTCCGGCGTTTGCACAGATTTAGTAGTTTTCAAAAGGCCCACGAGCTTGTTATTTGCAACATTTGCAGTTTAATCCAAGTGTCCGACCATCCACGAAAATTCCAGTTGAAAGATCGCTGGCATAATGAGGATAAGCAAAGAAATCAACCTTCAATGTCAAACGGACGTGCACTTGAGCACAGTAATGCTCTCGCTTATAAAAAGTAAGGT